TACTACTACTACTACTACTACTACTACTACTACTACTACTACTACTACTACTATTACTACTACTACTACTACTACACAGCAACAATAACAACAATAAATGCAGCAGCAGTGGCAGCAACAACAACAACAGCAACAACAACATTTTCATCATCAACAACAAATTAAATTACTAGTTTCTAAAACATTGTTTTTCCTCTTTCCTTCCACTGGTATACCTGACCTGCACGCAAGAGTGGTCTGCTCCATATTTTTACTTGTTATCAATTTTCATTCTGCTTACATCTAAATTTACCTCTGGAGAAGTTCATGTAGCCCCGTCGTTTCAAGAGCGGCCAAGATCGACCACGCCCCTTTTTATTCAACAACCGACGGCCTTGCTTTTAACCACCGAGCATACGAACGTACGCGAGTTTGTGTGTTGCCTTAGATAATATAATTGGTTTGATCTGACAAGTTATTTTTCTCTTGTTTTTCTATTTGAATACGGGGTGCCCACTACGGCTGGATCGGGCCGATCGCCCGACTCGATCCTCTGAAACTGAAAACAAACACGTTTGTTTTTGAGGCGATCGAGTCGGGCGATCGGCCCGATCGGCCAATCCCATCCGTAGTGGGCACCCCGTATAATCTGTCCGAGTCAGACGTCAGACAGCCCCACCTGTCTACAGAGAATAACGTAAGCAGCAATTAATTCAACGACCATGAGATTATAACATGGGTGTAACAGAATTGATATTGTAATAGGCCAAAACGCGGCAATTTCGTGTTATTCAATACCGGGTGACTAACTATATCTACCGTACTCTGAAGGAACTGATGAGCATGGCTGTCTGTAATTATTGATTGACACACTTCAGGAGAACTGGGTTACTTCATTCGTTCAAACGCTTTGTTGAGTTTTCGCATGCAAATACAAGTAAAGAGTTGGCACCAACTCCAAGTAGTCTAATATAATAATATTATTATTGTTTTTATGAGGTTTGGGCTGGACTTTGTATTTTTAAAAAACATCCGTATTTGGTTTCCTGCTGATCATGCGGTGGCTCAATGGGCATTAGGGTGGGTTTCGTATCCAATTAATCAGGTTCTTTTTTTATAGTAGAAGGTTTTACGGCGCTCGCAACTGCATAAGGTCATATGAGCGCCAAGGGGTGGGTGTCAACAGAGAAGTCTTTACAGGGAATCAGACTTATTCTGCTCACCTCTCTAGCTTCAACAGCACAAGGTCTG